CTTTATATTGGGCGACTAACACTCAGACTCTCAGTGTTGCTCAAATGTTGAGCGGACGCCAGAAAGCAGTCGTTGCAGACGCGCCTTAAGTGGCCAATGAGAACACTGTCTGCTGCTGTGAGCACTCTAGCTACGTTTTACATCAATATAAATACCAAATGAATACTGCTGCGTACATAAAGGGATCTAAAACGATCTGCTGATCTTCTTCGTCTCTTAGGCAGGCAAACGAAGAGACGGACGAAGACACAGACTGTGTTTGTGAAGTTCAGGGCATCTCTTAGTCGAGCAGTCTCGGCTTTATCACTCTTGAATGCTCTCTCTACCTATGTACATATACAAATATATATTCATCTGAGTACATCCACCCATCCATCAAATATAAGTCATATTGAAGCACTCAGCCCTTCATCTCCAAATCCCCTACAGAGTGACTTACAGCTCAGCATTTCAGCCATTAAGAACCAATTCGCCTGAGTCGTATGATATGTGCTGTCATTTTGTTAGCTGTTAAATCCTTCCATTAAAACGCCAGCTCACAATAATAGTGACAGAGGCTTTTGCTGTGGCGTCTGTCGAGTGAGTTTCTGCCTGCAAGCAGCTGTCCTTCAGCTTCATTTGTATGTAAATGCGCCTTGGCAACAGCAGCAGGAGCAGCAACAGCAGCAGGAGCAACAGCAGCCGGAACTGCTGTTAGAATATTTTTCGGGTGCTGTCAGGCAGCGGGCACAGTGGGACGAGTGCTGTCCGAACACACACACACAAAATTGACTTCAATTACAATTTAAAATTAGAAAATCGTCCGACTACACGCCCAGCTCACAATCAAAAGATGCAAATTTATTTGTAAGCAAAGTGTCGGCTCGTTTTTGTTCTCTCAGTGTATTTATTTGGCCTTGCCACACAATTGTTGCCACGTGTGGCACGTGTAGCCGCACTTACTTGAACAATTTTCTTATTTATATTGTTATATAGACATTTATGAGCTTATGCTGGGCATTAGTTGAACGCACTCTGGCTCCTGCTCCTGCTCCTGCTTCTGCTCCTGCTGCTGGCTCCTGCTGTCTCTTTGGATTTGGTTTGAAACTTTTGATTGCTTGCCTTAGCCGCAACGCACGTCCATCAGCTGCTACCTGATATGCGCCGTGTTGGCCGAGTGTGAGCAAGTGGGCCAACGCCAGCGGCTTGACACAACTGGGTCGCTGCCGTTGCTCCGCTCGCTTGTTTATAAAACTGGTTCAAGGAGACAAGCAACAACAGCTGCAGCAACAAAATGTCGTACTAAAAAATGGTGGCAACAATTTTGTTAAGGCGAGAGGGTGAGCGGGCGAGAGAGAGAGAGAGCGAGGGAGACGGCTTTGGCTTGGCATTTCACACACACCTCGTGGCAGTGACAAACATTTAGCGTGAAACTATTTTTTAATGAGCTCCGGCAATTTTTCCTCGGAACTCAGTCGAGCGCCGCACAAAAGTTCATTTGGGCTTCAAAATTGTGTTTTTGTTTCGTTTTCTTTTGCGTTCTCGCTAGTTTTCTTTTGCGATTGATTTTTCGCCCCGTGGCTGGACACCTTGTGCGCATTGGCAATAATGGGCGTGGCCATTCGAATGAATTTGGGCCCATTGTTGCGACTTAACAATTGTTGAGCCGGAACATATACGCCCACAGCCAGAAACTGGGCCAACTCATCCAAAATGGCAACAAGCACGCAATTTGTTGCCATAGCCAATATTACCCATATTGTTGTTGTTGTGGTTGTTGTTGCTCTTTGTGCTTAAAGCAACTCAACAAAGTTGTTTACATTTTTTATGATGTTTTTGTGCCACATTGCGTGCCTCAATTTGACGAAATACTATTGAGATGTAATTAAGTTTTCAATTTATGTTAAAAGCTTAAAGTTCCCAGTAGGTCAAAGGCTGCTTAAAGCGGGCAATAGTTTAAATATTTATCTACAAAGGCGCCTTTTCCAAAGAAAATGCATAAAAGCCAATCGAAAGACAGACAATTTTCTGGGAAATATATAATATTTTTTATTTTATATACATACATATATATTTTTTTAAGCTCATTTCTCAGAATGTTTTGTAGTCGATTACTAGCCATAACTTATTTAAAGCCATTGAGCTAGCTCAGCCATGCTGGTCAGTCGGAGCACAGAAAATCTTGAGTAGCAGCTGTTCCTTTGTTTATCAAACAATTATCAAAACACGTGCGCTTGATATTTTCCAGGCGAATGCCTTTCACGGCTAGACTTGAGTTGATTTCTGCAAATAAATGCCTAACAACAGACCGAATGCAAATCAAGAGAATTCTCAAAATATATATATTTTATTCAAGTCTCTGCTGTCATTATATATAGTATAATTTCACAAGAAAATGCGTATACGCAACGTTGCCACAAAAGATTCTGAATGCCTCTTGGCTTTGACTTTCTGCCAGTCTCTTGGTTATTCTGGCTTTCACACAGTACTAAACGTTGTCAACAGCTTATTTTAATTTAACTAATGAATATTCAGTGCGGACCACATCAAAGGCGAAACGCTTTTATCATTTTAATGAAACATTGCACCCGCACCGCTACCATATAATTTCCATAAGCGTCGTGCAATTTAATTACTCAAACGCTTAAAAGATCAACGAGTTATGAGCCATAAAACTGGTTTTTAGCACCTTTTCAATTCCCGAGCTGGCCATAGCAGTTAAGACATTTATCATAGTTGCTGGCAAACGACGCCAATTGATAAATCGAATGACATTGAGGCTTAGCTCTAGCAAAGGGAGTTGAATGACTTGCCAAGGTCAGGGAATTTCATGTTCCTGCTGCTGAGCAGTGAACATTTCCTGGAATTCCTTGAGCAACCCACTTTTGCCAATGAAAATGTTATCTTAATTATATTCCTGTCGTATCTTTGATGTTTAGGAAAATAACCAACTCTATTTGTTGTTCACGCAGGAGAAATCACAGTCTATTTATGTGTTTTCCCAGCTGAATGTAGTCAAGTTTTCCATTGAAATTAATTATGAATTAATGCAAAGAGACACAGAAAAAATTGCCCATGATCAATCAAAACTTGGTCTTTGGAGTATTTCAACTATCAACTTTGCACATTTTTCGCCTTCTAATTAGCCCTTCATTTCATTGGTAGTTGTGTTGGCCAATTTGCATTTTAACACTTGCTGCTGTTGCTTCTAGTGCTCCTGCTCCTCCTGCTGCTGCTGCTGCTGCCCTGCTCGTGGCAATTATGTTAATTTCTCTTTGGAGCAGCTGGCGCACATTTTACGAATTACCAAGCAGCCAAAAATTCAAAGCCAAGGACTTCCTGGCAGCCGCCACTGCTGCTGGCCCTCGTCTAAGTAATTCACCCAAATTTGCTACAATTGCATTCGAAATTCTAGCCATCAAGCTCAAATTAACACACACACACATAGACACCCACACTCTGCTTCATTTAAAATTTAAATCTGCCATTTACACAAATATGAAGTTTTGATGGTTTGTGTAATGAAATTACCAAACCAAGTTGAAACAGAGAATTCTGATTGAGTTACAAGATAAGAGATTAAGAGCAAAAAACATTTCTAAAGGTCACATAGTTAATATAGATTTCCAGGAAAATAATCTAGCCACTTAAGCCTATTTAAATTAGATTTTCTTTCACGTAAGTTAAATTTCAAAGGCTTTTAATTGTAAAGTGAAGGAATAAAAAACTTCATTGAATTCATGCGAAAGGCATATTTAAAGTTAAGTTTAGCAAATAATGCCTGCATATAAAACATATATGTACAGTATTTTTAGGTCTATAAACTGAGAAATTAAGTTTAGGCATTCGCAAGCTATAGCCAGAGCTGAGTACAGCGGAGTTGTTGTAGTCAAATAGTTCAGCATGCGTCAAATGACCCAAAATACTTGCATTCCTTTGAGCATTGCCACGAGCAGACCTCAAAAGTGTGTGTGTGTGAGTGTGAGTGTGTATGCGTGTGTGTTATTGCAATCCTGGCGATTCTAGCAAATGCTGACAGCATTCTCTGCATGCTTTAGTTTTTCGTTTATTTACTGGCAGCGTTCTTTGACTCTATATTACTACGTCAACATTTTATTGTTGTGAAAGTTTATTGACACGCTGACACAAACGCAGAGGCAGAGAGCGAGCGAGAGAGACAGAGAGAGAGAGAGAGTAATTTAAAAATTTGCTTTCATTTGCCACACTCAGCCACAAAATGTCAATGGCCACCACATGAAATATGGAAAACTGCAAATCATCGAGTCATGCATGCATTTACAATGGCATTTAAGATACAAATTTCACACATAAATAACGGAAAAGTTCCCAGAAACACAGAGATAGAGGAAGCCGGAGATAAATTGTATGAGAAATGGCTAGCGCAAATAATTCCAGGAATTTGAAGCAACCCAGGGCATATTTTAAGTCAATAATAAAATATACTCTAAGCCAAAAATGATGGCCAAAACCAGCCGAGCGTTTAGCTGAGTTAAAACAGCAATTACGTCCAGCAAATTTATGTAAAACATCTGCTAAATCTTGCGTTATGTAAATGCTTTGGCCTTTTCGCTGGCGCTTTGGGGGCAATTTGTTTTGGCCAGCCATGGGCTGCGTTGGCCTTTTTGGCTTGATTGGAAAACATCCGATAATGTGAACTAGTTGAAGTCGGACCATATATCATAATCAAATAGCGACAATCACGAATGCAAATGATGATGATGATGATGAATATCCTGTCATTAGCAGCTACGAACTGGGTCATCAGTTCATTATTATTATTATTATATATTATATATTATTTATTATTTATTATTGCTGCCTTTGATTGAGTTTTGGCTTTTGGCCTGTGAGAGATTTTGTTGTCGCTCTGCACGCAATTGAAATTGAAAGTTGAATATTTGACTTTGATTACCAAGCTAATTAATCAAAGTTCCGATTGTGAATATTGGAGATATCACTGCTAATTATCTACAGTCAATAAATGTCGTTTAGCTCGAGAGTTACATGAAATCATATTTTATTTGGTTAATTAATCATAATATAAAAGATAGCTTAAGTCGTTTACTTCGTTTACTTATGACCAAGGTTAACCAAGTTCTCTGGAAAACTCAAAGGCATTTCGCTTGGCTCATCCTCCGGCCAGGCTCAGCTAGAAATAATATTTGGTGTGTATTACATACGCTTACTGGCTAATAAACTATGTCAAGTATCACTTAGATAAAACCTACGAATCACCAATTGTTAGACGACGCCGCAGGGACACTTTGGCGGAGCGTTGCACGCGCGAGGGGCTCGATTCGTGCATGCGACGCTGGCCAAAATGGAGCAATGGGCGCTCTACAAATCTGTGATTGGTCTTAACAGCTAGCTAATCCTTAAATACTCTAAGTGTAAAGAGAGTGGTTGTAGTTGGGCTTGTGTTTGGGTTTGTATTCGTTGTGGGCGTGGCTTATTTACAGCCACAGCGCATCGATGGCTTCGTCCAAGTCGTCGGCATGGGATCGGGACAAGCGCTGCGGCGTTGTCTTCAGGGACTTCTGTTCGCTGACGACTACCGCCTTGGCCTCCATCTCGTTGCCGCTGAGCAGCACCATGAGCAGCACGCTGCTGCGTCTGGTGTGCGACTCCAGCTCCTGCTGCTGTTGCTCCAGCAGCTGCGGCAGCTGCTGCGGCTGTGACTGATTGTTGCGCAACTTGCGCAGCCAGTCAGTGGCAGGCCAAATGCATTTACCGCCCACGCTGCCACGCCGGCGACAGGCGTCCCTTGTAGCTCTCTGGCTCCTGGTGCAGCTGGGGCTGCTGTGTGGTTTATTGTTTCTGACAGTGTCGTTCGGCTGCAGCATTTCAACCACGCAAATGTCATCAGTAGCACCAATTTCGCTGGCGCATCCATCAACATCAGGCGCTGTTTCAGTCATTGACGCTGCTGCTGCCGCTGCCGCTGCCGCAGAGGCCATTGTGGTTGTTGTAGTTGCCGCTGTCGACACTGCCCTGCTGCATTCCTGCTACACGTTCGTCACTTGCGTCGTCAGGCCCAGATCAATGGCCATGCTCTTGCTAACAGCATCCGTTTGCACCAGTCGCTCCCTGCCATAGCCATTCAACCGGCCGCCGGCACCATCGCGACCGTCGCCATCATGCTGCGACAGCGGAAGCCATTTGTCGAGCCAGCGCGGCCGGAAGAGCAGCGTGAATGTGCTGCGAAACTGTCGACTCATCGAGCAGTAGAGTATGAAATTAATGCTCGAATTAATAAGTGCCAAGATGTCCATTAGATCACCTAAAATGAGACATACAAATGGAAAGGCAATAAGCGTCAGTGCAACAAACGGCTGCCCTCTGCCAAGTAAGTCATTTTGCTGCTGGCAGAATGCGTAAACAATAAAAAGAGAACTTACAACTAGTTTGTCTGGTTCTTTTGAAAGGGATATACATATATTTTTAACATATTTAAATCACACTCTGAGAAAAACTCGCTCGCGATCGGCTTGTTTGGATTTGCTCTTCTTTCTTTCCCGACCAACTAGTTGCATGCATTGGTATTTGTGTGACTGCAGTCTTCGGTGACGTGCGTGAGTTGAGTGCTGCATGTGTATGTGAGTATGAGGACCGCTTGCATTGACTTTTTCTTACTGCGAGATCCAATCGTGTTGCTGCCTAAGCGATGTTCGTTGCAAGAGAAGCACACGAATAGTTCACGATTTTGCGAACAGCAAGTTATGGATAAAAATGCCAAAGTATCGAAACAATATAAATATATCGATAGCGGAGTTTAAAAGGACTTTTTGAAGACGATAAATGGCTTTTTATTCTTTATGCACATCTGGTCACATCGCTTTTCAAATTATATTTAAATTATTAAATCACTTCCTGCACTTATTTAATAAAATGTCCCAACACAAAATTAAAATTATCTGTACTTAATCTAAACTAAATACTCACTCAGCTTAAGGTAGCACTGCATGAGAAATGCATCGCCAAGCAGCGCATTCAGCAAACCCATGATACCCTGTGGAAATTCCGTAATGAGAAACAGCAGCAGCACCGCCAACAGCATGCGTGTGGTGCGATCCGTTTGCTTCTCCTTCTCCAGCAGTTTACAGCTTTTGGGTTGCGTGGGCGTGACGACCTTGCCGTTGACAATGGGCTGCATATCGTTGGCCGCGTGGCAGGCGAGTATCTTGCGTCGCTTCTTCGCCTCCAGCAGAGCGCCAATCAGGCGCACGGAGAGCACAGTGAGGGCGAAGCAGGGTATCAGCTTGATCACCACGCTGTAAATGAGAAATGTGGCATTGCGCAGGGGTCGATCGTGCAGCGCCAGCTCGCTGTGGTACAATTTGTAGACCGTCACGTTGCGCTCTCCCATATCGGGTGGAACTGTGGTCATTAAGGTGGGCAAATCTGTGGAGAAGCTTGGCATATTGACCACTGTGGTGTTGCTGCCGCCCGTGGCCACAGACCAGGCCATGTCCGGCGTGGTGCTGGACATAACTTGCATCGTGATGTGCTCCTCGTTGTTGTAGTCCAAGATGTATTGACTCAAGGGCACGGACCTAATCGTCTTGCCATTGGCATCCAGTGTCTCCAGAAACTTGGCTATCGCAGTGACCAAATAGAGCCACGGCGACACCACCAGCACGCACACCACATAGGCCGTCGCTATGGTTATTGTGGTTGTGCGCATGCCGCACCAAATCCGATTACGCTGCGGATAGCTAACGGCTATGTAACGCCAGACGGCCAGCGTGACTGTCAGCCAAATGGAGATGGTGTGAAGCACTTGCGCAAAGATCGAGTGAAACTTGATGAAGCAGGCCCAGCCATAGCTGAGCTGCTGCTCACGCGGCAGACGCGCGCTGAGTATGTAGTCGTGCACAGTGTAGGGTATGTACTCCAGCATGACGGCCAGATCGGCCACGGCCAGGCCCGTGAGTATCGCATTGGTGGGGGAGCGCATCTCGCGACGCGTTAGCACAATTATGTTCAAGGTGTTGGCCAGGGTGCCCAAAATGCAGACGATGAGCGAAAAGTAGCCATGGATATATTTATAGCTGTGTGGATTAGAGTAAATAGCAGTTGAGTCAATATTCCATATAAACAAAATTAAAATGAGCTGTGAAAATATGCCGCTTCCTGCTCATTAGGCAATTTGCGGAGTCATGCTGATGGGAGAATGAATATTCAGTATACGCAGCGTATAATCAGCTCCAAAAAAATACATTTCATGGCAATTAAGCAGGTGATCTTTTGAATGCACACGCCAGTTCACACGTGGGCAAGGAAATTATTATGTAAATTACATTTAAACCAAGAAACAACAGCAACAACAAAAAGTAATTAATACTCTGACACGGCAGGCCATGCCGCATGCCGCATGCCACATGCCACATGCCGCTTGCCACTTGCCACTTGCCACTTGCCGCATTCCGTATTCCGCCCATTCCAATCAACTTACTTCGTGTGAAAATCATCGACGCTGGCGCCGCAATAATGCGGCTCCGACATGTTCGTGACCATGTTGTCAATTTTGGTCGTCAGATGATGGTGGTGTTGGTGGTGGTAGGTGTGGTGGTGTTTGCCTCGCCTGATTGCGTCCGTGGTGTGAATGGCCGGGCGGAGTCGCTATAACAACTGCTACTTGGGCCTGTGGCCTTTGTGGCCCTGGCAGCTGCTGCTTCAGTTGCGTTTCAGCTGCTCGCTGTCAACATCAAGCCGCGCCCCCAGCTCTGCCTCCTCATTAATATTCTTGCGCTGCGGTCACCCTTCGATATTCCAATACTTAAATTGTTTCCTCTACACTCGTCCCAAAGCTGAAATTAAATAAGCCAAATATTTATACAGCTCTAAATTATGGCAGACAAATTATAACGTGTTGCCAGCAGTTCGTGTTGGCAGCGAAAAAGTTTGCCTGGCCACATGCAAATACTAAATTAAATACAACGTGTCATTAATTCAAGTTGAAGTTCAAGTTGAGACTGAAGTTGAAGTTGAAGTTGAAGGAAAACGACTTCAGCTGTGAATGACAAGTTGGGAAATTTCGATGCAGGTAAAGGTAAACTCCGCCCGCCAGCTCGTTTGCTAAATACCTTTAAGAGAAGGCCTTAAATAACTGGAGCATTTAAGGCAGCTCAGCTCTGACAAAAGTTTTCACAATCATAAGCCATAACTGTTCATGTTTTGGCCATGTAATTGGCCAAAGAGAAAGCTAATACTAATGCGTGGACAAACAGTTTACAAGCTCAACGGAAAGATGAAGCAGTTGCTATCAATGTTACGCATACGCCACCAGTGCACATAGAGTTTTGGCCCAGTTAAAGAAGTGTGCCGTTACAAGTCATTTGTCTTCACATTAGAAAAGTTCTGCCAGTTGCTGTGATCAAAGCAAACTTTTTGTTGTCCACACTGGCCAAGGCCATGAGCAGTTGGCTGCGGGCCAGCAGCCGCCAGCAAAAACCACACACACACACACTGAGGCACACATTACGTATACGCAATGCGAGTAGCATGAAAAGAAATGTCATTGCAGTGCTCGGTGCTCGGTTTCTGCATGCCTCACTTGGCTTTTTGCACTTCGTTAGCCACATTTGGCTCGGGCTGAACTTTGCTGAACGTTGCTGCTGCTGCTGCAACTGCAAATATAAATGTGGCTCCCACATGGCCCGAGTCGTCTGCAATATTTAATTAAAACTTTTCGCCCAGCACTTGGGCCAAACCCTTCGCAAATAGATGAAAAACATTCCTCTGTATTGTTTATCTGGGCAGCATATGTTGGCATATTTTCGGTCACTCGACAAGCCATTGTCAGCAGCTCCAACTAAGTCAATTGAAAGCCTAGCCTGACCTAGTTGGAGCAACAAATTGACGCATAATCCACTGGCTCTATTGGCAGCCACATCTGCAGCTAACGAGCTGCGTATCGGTACAAATTATGCAACATAATTAAACAATGATCGTAAAGAACCTGGCACATTTGCAAACAACTGAAAGTCAAGGGGCATCAGCTGCTGGCTGGCTGGCTGGTTGGCAGGGTAATTAAAACTGGGCCAAGTCTTTGAATGGGCCATTATTGAGCCGTGGACAGCGCTAATGGCCTAAACGGCTTCATTAGATCATTTAAATAGAGTTTGCTTTGGCATTAAATGCCGACTGCTTGCCATGTTTCATTTCATGCCACAAAGTCCTTTGCGGCATCAACAAGTTGTTCGATGGTTGGGCATTACGTGACTTGCCTCAGTTTCCACGCTTTCCATGCACTCCCACCAAAGAAGATGCTAATGTGCCCAGCTGCCGAATACAATGCTCTTAGACGTTAATGTGCGGCATACGGTGCGTATACGTTTTTATTTGAAAGCATCAGACCATAGCCTGTCTAACCATATGACTGACTGACTGACAGACTGACTGACTGACTGAGCGATTGACTGAGTGAGTGACTGCTGGACTTTGAGGCCAGCTGCCAGCATGGTCGAGGGTGTGGTTGCCAAGTAATTTAAGCTATTTGTTTATTACTGTTTCGCACAGTTCCATGAAGACCTACACAGAATTCAATTAAGTGTGGCCCAGGCCCGGGCACACGCTGTGCTTTAAATAAGATGAGGCTGGGAGTGGGAGTGGGAGTGGGAGTGGTAGTGGGAGTCCAGCTCTAGCCTATTTTATGTGGTGGTCTTTGTAGTAAGAGCTCAAGTCAGGCACATGCTGTGCATTTAGATGGGCCACTTTGCTGGGCAGAAGCACAACTTCAATAATTACATTTGAAGGACTATTTGAATGAGTGATAGTCCATCGAATCGCTGTAATTGGCAGTACTTGAAACTACTTGAGAACGGTGCGGAGCTGGCCCGTCTGTCAGGGCCAGGCTCACTTGAGCGTTGCCACAAATTAATTGAAATCCTCGAACAACAACAACAACAACAACAACAACACATTCAACACTCAACACTCAACACATTCAACACTCAGCATCAAACGCTTCAGGGCATTAGCTAAATACAATTTTCAAGTTTGAACAGCATTTGGGTTTTGTTTGCTTCCTGTAAGCCATTAGAACAAAAGCAAAAATGCCAAGAATACGGCAACAATTGGGTTATACATTGTGGCCAAAGAAACTTGTGGCGAAAACTTAAAAGTATTGCCAATCTAGCCAACCGAAAGCTAAACTGCAAATTAAATAAGAAAGAAAATGTTGGGTATAGACGAATCGCGAATGCTCTAAGCCGAGCTGAGTAGCTTAGACTTTCATATTGTTTACTGATTGAGTGCATCGAATGAGGCAGCCAGAACAGCCAATTGTTGCATAATGGACCAAAAAGGCTAAAAAAGAAAATACATCGTATCAGCAACAAGACAAAGCAATTAGCTAAAGTACAACTAAAAGCAAACTGGCTGAAAGGTTTTTTCTAAATGAAAAAGTAGCCCAAAAATCACACGCTACCATTGAGAGCAACAAAAACATACAAAAAATGCGAACAAAAGGCCCTCGAACGAGTCCCAGCTACGTTTGCTTTAAGATTGCCTGAACGAGCATGTGAATGCTTCAGCTGAATATTTGTTTGCCCGTGGCTTTAATGTTTCGTTTGAATATTATATGAGAGCGGGCATCTGCTCAATTATTTACGCTGATCTGATTTGGTTGTGTGTACCCCGGGCAAATTTACTTCCGCTTATTACTTTTGATGATTTCCTAACGGTTTCTGCCAGCTACTTCCGGCGCTCGCAGCGGTCCAACATTCAATGCTGACCTTAGAGAGCTCTCAATGAATGCTACATTTATGAACATTTTTCTCTCTCGCTCTCACTCTCTCTCTCTCTCTGTCTGTGTCTGTTGTGTATGTGTGTGTGTAACTGCGCACACGTGTGCGTTGCGAACTGTAAAATCGGATTCCCATTCAATCTTGAGCCTTCGCAGAGGTAATGCCAGCACAGACACGTGGCAATGGTGACTTGATATGCCCGACTTGGCCATGCCGGCCAGTCCAAGGCTATGCTTGCCAAATCAACTGCCGGCTGAGACGCCTCAAGGGTTTCACTAGCTCTTTGTGCAAAACTTTACGCATGTGCCCACTGGCCCACTGCTCGTTAGACGCACTTCAAGCTGAGCTCCTTCTGTCCGTCCGGCTCGACTCGAATATGCAGCAGCTTGAAGAGTTGTTCTTTAATAAAAAGGCTGCTGCTGGTTAAATTTAAATGTCAGCTTTACAAATTATTTATGGCTGTGAAATGACTTTAAAACTGTTTGCTGAAACTCGGTTGGGCAGGCCGAATCGAGAGAGCGAGAGAGAGCGACAAATATTTGTTGAGGTGAAACAGCGTGAAGAACGCACACACACACACACGCACACAGCAGAATTTTGTAATTAAGCATTCAGAAAATGTTGGCGAAGGCAACGTGAGCAAACAGAAAAACAGGCGAAATGTGCCAACGCTTATGGCAGAGAGATCAAAAGTTCGGGCCACTCATAAACAAACAGGCAGATAAACAGAGCCACAGTTGGCGGCTATTCGGGCACATGGAGAAGCGCACAGCAGAAGGGACAAGCTGCACATTTCATTGCCCCGAAAAAAAGAAAAACGCATACACAAAGCCCACTTGACAGGACATGCGACACACAGAGTCACACACACAGTCGCACACAGACAGAGACAGCCAGGCAGAGCAACTGGCTTAGGTCAAGGTAATAACTGTCAACGAGCTGAAGCGCCACTCGAGCCGAGTATTTGCCGCAAATCTATTGCATAATAAGCAGTCGGACAGGCGAGCCTTTTGTTTCAATTAGCTTAGCGCAAAGCCCCCTGCCCCCACTCTTGGCCTGGCTAAAATCGATGCTGCTTGTTTATAAATTGTATTTAATATCATTCGGCAAACAGCTAAAGCAAACTGTTTAATTGTGCGCAACAAGTGGCGCAACGGTGCAGGGTTAATAAAACATTATTTGCTACGCTCGCCCCGCCTTTTGGTTATTTTAATTTGCATTTGGCCATCATAATGTCTATTTATATCTTATCTGTGACGGCTTATTGTCTGGCTTATTGTTTATGAGCGCGTTTATTGTGTGCATGTCTGCATGGCCTCAGTGCTGGATTTGTTCCATTGGCAGTTGATTAACTGCGCGGCCCCAGTCGCAGTCCATAAAGTATCAATAAATTCATAGCAAGCAGCCGAGCGTCACACAGCAAATGCGTTTCCCACCTTATTAATTTCATAACAACGACAACAAAACAAAGCCAAACATTCGTGCATTTATTAATTAATAATAACTGATAATTTATTAGATTCGGCTGCATAATCATTTAATTGAATTTCCTATGGGGAAATACAGGAAAAAAGAGGGAAAACCAGAAAGCTGGGCGTGGCCAACTGCGTAATACTCGTTTGGCTTTAATAAAATAAAAATTATATACGTATTCCTTTCTTTGCTTTATTTATTTATTTTTATCGTTTTAATTTAGTTTGTATTTTTTAAAATAATTAATAAATAAAATTAATATATAACCATTATTTTTTTATTCTATTTATTTAATTTATTTATTTTATTTACTAATAGTTTAAATAAATAATTAATAAAATTAATAAATAATAAATAATTTTGTATTCTATTTAATTATTTTAATTATTTTTATATATGAATAGTTCTGAGTTTTTTTGTTAATTTACTAATTTTTTATTTTTAATAACTATTTATGTATATTTATTCATCTACATATTTTTTGCTTAATTTTGTCATATACTTTTTTCATTTAATTATTTTTTTGTAATAATTTTTAAACTATTTACTAAAACGATTTTTATTTATATATTTATTAAATATTTTTC